TTTTGAGACAGGGTCTCGCAATGCAGTTCAGGCTGGCCTTGAGCTCACTTTGTAGCCCAGGCTGGCCTCGAACGATCCTCTTGCTTCAGAGGATTCAGCCTCCTGAGTGCTGGGATTACAAGCGTGCGCCACCACACTGGCATGCCTTTGTTTTTGAGACTTGGTTTTCTGTCTATAAATATACATGTTCTTTGCCTCAGAGGACTGCGGCAGGATTTGTGACAATTTATGGCAAGTGTCTGACACATGGTAGCGCAACATCTGGTGCCTGTTATTCTCTTCTTGTGCTCCGAAGCTCTCAGCTCTCCTACAAATTGGACTTTCTGCCACCTTTCAGACCAGTGATTTCAGAATCTCCTGGGCTGGAGCCCTGGGGCCCAGGGATGAATGAGCATCTGGCCGAGCCCTCTCTGTGATGCTGCTGTGCCACTGAGGTTAATCGTCACTGCCCTGTCCCGTGATGCTGTGACTTAGAATAAGAACCATACATTTTGTCTTCTCTGGTTCCCAGCACACACATCTGTAACCCTTGTCATTTCCCGAGCAGTGTGGGTGCTAAGAGAATCTTTCCTTCGGATTTTTTTTTTTTTTTTGGTCTTTTTGAGACAGGGTCGCACTAGGCGGTTCAGGCTGGCCTTGAGCTCACATTGTAGCCCAGGCTGGTCTCCAACTCGCAATGATCCTCCTGCCTCAGCCTCCTGACTGCTGGGATTACAGGGGCAGGCTACCACACCCAGCATTCTCTTCCACCTGCATGCTCATTTATTTCTTTTAAAATACCCTTTGTAAGAAATCGGCGTAGCAAGGAAGCCGCTGTCCTGTGTTCTCTGAGTTGCTCTAGTAAATCCTCCACCCAAGCAGAGGCATGAGGAGCTTTGATTCAGGGTCACACTCGACACGGATGTCCGAATCCTGGCAGCCCTACGGGTCTAAGCCGTTCACCCTGGGGCTTGGCGTGAACTTGGGTTAGCGTCAGAACCCAGCAGAGCGGTAGGACGCCCGGTGAGTGTTGGAGAATCCGCTGGTGTGGAGAAAAGACCCACACATCTGGTCGTAGATGCGCTCTACGTTGAATGAGAGATTAGAAAAAATATTCTTTAGTTTTCCCATATGCACCACCCTAAAAAAAAACCCCTTTCTCCTCCTTATTTGTCTCTTAACCATTTTTTTAGTACTGGGATTTAAATCTAGGGTCTTCGCTGTGAGCCACATCCCGGGCCTCCTCCTCCTCCTTTTTTTTTTTTTGAGGAAAGCATCTTGCTAAATTGCTAAACTGCACAGTATTGGGAACCAGGCTGAGATCCGCAACTACCCGAAGGAGGGGTAAGGCGAAGGATGAAGAAAAACAGAAACAAATTTGTTTATTTTTGGTAGTGGGGAATCGAACTCAGGACCTTCGCTTGCCAAGGAGGTGCTGTGCTGCTGATCTTGTGTTTTCCTTGCAGTTTCTGTGTGAAGGCACATTTAGTGTGTTTTCTGGTAGAGTTTCCTGTGGACTGAATTTTGCTGGTTGCAACCCTGTGGCATAAAACATGATCCATTGTCCTCTGCTTTTCTTACATTTGCTGTTTTATTTGTAAACGAGTAGCCGCGGCTAGAAGTCTGATCTGACTCGGGTTCAGATGTTTTAGCCAGAGCCACGTGCAGGGGTAGTGTGTTCTATCAGGAGGTGCCCCGTGGCTGCCCGTCCGTCTTCCTGTAAGCAACTAGTGTACATTCATTCCACAAAATATTGTGTTTCTTTTTTTGTTTGTTCATTTGTTTTGTTTTTTTCCAGTACCGGGAATCGAACTCATGACCTCGCACTTGCCAGGCAGGCACTGTGCCGCTGAGCTAAATCCCCAGCCCCAAAATATTGTGTTTCAATGTGGTATTTTCCTACATGCATAGGATATATTTTGATCATATCCTGTGTCACCCTCCCTTAGTCCCACTTGCCGTCTTTTTAAATTTTAAAAAATTCTTTAATTTT